TACTTTCATCCGTCAGGCTACTCCTATTACGAGACTTAACAAAATTCATCACTGAGAACAAAGATTAAAAATTGTAAATGGAAGATTATAAGAGAGGGTTTCGCGTGCCAGCAAAAGTTACTGGCGTGCCGTGTTTGGCACGCGTGCCAGGGGTTGCCCACCCCTGCACTAGGGGATGCGGAGGGGCCCCTGAAAGGCCTCTGGGCTCCAAAGGCTCCTAGTCGTGCTTGAGGGGGAGCCTTTCGAAAAGATACCCTCCCAGCCCCGCCTGGGGGGGCGGCCAGCCTGCGGGGATGTTAGTCAGGTGGTCGCCCATCTTCTTGATCAGTTTCACCTCCTCATCCAGGAAGTGGTTCTCCAGGAAGTCGCAGAGATGAGGGTCCGCACGGGTAGAACCCAGGGTCTGCAGCTCCCAAAGGGCCTGGTTCAGGTTCGTCTCCAAGGCCAGGGCGGCTTCCCTGGCGTCCTGAGTTTTGCCCCAGTCATCCTGGGAAGGTTTCTGCACGTCCTGGGAAGGTTTCTGCACGTCCTGGGAAGGTTTCTGCACGTCCTGGGAAGGTTTCTGCACGTCCTGGGAAGGTTTCTGCACGTCCTGGGAAGGTTTCTGCACGTCCTGGGAAGGTTTCTGCACGTCCTGGGAAGGTTTCTGCACGTCCTGGGAAGGTTTCTGCACGTCCTGGGAAGGTTTCTGCACGTCCTGGGAAGGTTTCTGCACGTCCTGGGAAGGTTTCTGCACGTCCTGGGAAGGTTTCTGCACGTCCTGGGAAGGTTTCTGCACGTCCTGGGAAGGTTTCTGCACGTCCTGGGAAGGTTTCTGCACGTCCTGGGAAGGTTTCTGCACGTCCTGGGAAGGTTTCTGCACGTCCTGGGAAGGTTTCTGCACGTCCTGGGAAGGTTTCTGCACGTCCTGGGAAGGTTTCTGCACGTCCTGGGAAGGTTTCTGCACGTCCTGGGAAGGTTTCTGCACGTCCTGGGAAGGTTTCTGCACGTCCTGGGAAGGTTTCTGCACGTCCTGGGAAGGTTTCTGCACGTCCTGGGAAGGTTTCTGCACGTCCTGGGAAGGTTTCTGCACGTCCTGGAAGAGAATGCGGCCCTGGAAGAGGATGCGGCCGCCACGTTCGTACAACTTCTATATGTGACACGGCACCAGAGTTAAGTTAGAGTTTTTCAAAATGCTGACACGCCGAGCTCAAAAGGTTCGCCATCACTGATCTAAGGCTAAGCCTTTTAAGATGCTGCTGACTTTGATGGCGAGTATGTTGTTGAGGATTTTGGCATCAGCGTTCTTCAGGGATATTGGCCTATGGTTTTCTTGTAGTGTCTTTGTCTGGCTTTGGTATCAGGGTAATGCTGGCCTCAGAGAATGAGTTTGGGAGTATTCCCTCCACTTAACTGTTTTGGGAGAGTTTTAGGAAGTTCGGTGTTAATTCTATTTTTGTTTGTTTTTTAATTTTATTAAAATTTTTTTTTATTAAATGTATTGGGTGACATTGGCTAATATGTCCATATAGGTTTCAAGTGTTCATTTCTGTGATACAAGATCTGTGTATTGCAGTGTGCGCCTACCACCCAAATTCAAACCATCTTCCATACCATATATTAGGCCCTCTCCATCCTTCAATTCTTTAAATATTTGGTAAAATTCTCCAGTGAAACCATCTGCTTTTAGGCTTTGTTGGGAGGTTTGTGGGTTTTTAAAAATATTTTTTTATTGATTTTATAGAGGAAGGGAGAGGGAGATTGAAACATCAATGATGAGAGAGAATCATTGATCAGCTGCCTCCTGCATGCCCCCCACTGGGGATCGAGCCCACAACCCGGGCATGTGCCCTTGACCAGAATCGAACCCGGGACCTTTCAGTCCTCAGTCCGACGCTCTATTCACTGAACCAAACCAGCTAGGGCTCATTTGTTGCTTCTTGTTTGTGCCCTGACCAGGGACCGAACCCACAACCTAGGTGTATCAGGATGATGCTCTAACCAACTGAGCTACCCAACCAGGGCCACAACTTTTTTTTTTCTTGTGATGAGGACTTCAAGATCTGCTCTCTTAGCAACTTTTAAATATGAGCTATAGTATTATTAACTACTAGTGGCCCGGTGCACGAAATTTGTGCACATTAAAAGGGAATTAATTAGAGGAAATACTTTATTTTATTTTTATTTTAATATATTTTATT